CGTCGATCACTAACTGTCTGTTGGGGAGGTGGTTATCCGTTGCGCTGGAATGGTTACTTTGTGACTAAGTTGAGCATGGTTAGGATTACTTATTGGTTGTTGATGTACGAGCTCAGTTTGTAGTTGGTTGTCTGTTAGGGATAAGATATCTGTTGAAGAAGCTGGGGTTATTGTTAGATACACTTCTAGATGGTCTCGTTGTGTACATGTTTGGTCCAGTTTTAAGTTGATTTCCCCAATTGTGATATTAGTTCCAATTGCTTGTAGAAAGTCCAAACCTAAGATTAACTCATCGGTGCCCTTGGAGAAGACCAAAAGTTCTGTTTTCACAATACATGTCCCTAGTTGCAATGTTACTTGGGTTTCCCAGGTGAGTTTATGTATAGTGTCGTCTGTTATTCGAACGTTGATGGTAGTCCTGAGTTTCTTCGGTTGAAGCCCTAGTCTGCACACCAGATGTTGTGAAATAAAGCTCCGCGAAGCACCAGTGTTGATTGCGGCTTCTAGATTATGCGTATTCAGCTTGATACTTGCCTTTATCTGGGGGTCCTTTATGCGCAGTTGTTTTGTGAGAAGTTGGCAGGGCTCCGGTTGGTAGGAGCCGCTACCCCTGCGGTCGAGCGCTCCTGGTTTTCGTTTCCCGAGTATTTTCGGCAGCAGTCAATAGTGCGGATATTCTTAGTGCCACATTCCCAACATAATAGAATTGGCTGTCCTTGGCATCTACTAGCAATGTGTCCGCATTGTCCACAGCGACGACAGGCCAATTCAGTATTATTTACTCTCATATTCTCAACCTCCATTGTATGGTGACGTTCCTCACGTGGTCGGTTATGAGTGGGCTTTTCTTCCTCAAGGCGCAATGGCTCAAAGTCTTCGGCCAATGCTACCAGTTCCTCCAGATTCACGAAATCAGTTCAATATATAACTGATAGTCCGTCCCTGAATTACGATATATTCGGTCCAATTGCTGGCTAGCATCGAATCCGGCATGTCGCATTAAATTTTGCATGGTGACAACATAGTCTTTGAAAGGCTCTCGTTGTTTTTGTCTGCGTGCACGGATCTCATCCTCTAATTTTTCAAAATACCTTGCTGGTAGGAAAATTAAAGGAAATCAGACTTAAAGGTGACCCACAATTTCCATTGCTATTGTTATTTCTATACCATATCAATGCCTTGTCCTTCAGAAGTATAGCGATTTCATTGTGTTTTGTGTTCTATATGTTATTTTATATTGTTGTTTTTGCATCCGAAAGTTGAGGGACATATACTACACTTTTATAGATTTGGGTATTCTGAATGAGTTGTTGATTTCTTTTTAGTTACAGGATTTTTTGGATCACTAGGTTAGGAAAGTTTTTTTTATTTAAAACCCTTTTGATGTTATTTCTTACCTCCTCATGGAAAAATATGTTACTTAATTCTAATGCTCTTTTAGTCATATTGTTGGCACTGTTCTTCATAATACATGGTAAAGATGTTTATAATTCGTTCAGAGACTGTTGGTTTTATATACCATTTTGTCATAGTATACGAATATTTAATCGTAATAAATAAATATTCAAGCCTAAATAACAAAACCAGACCCATCCCGCCTAAACCCACAACCATTTTTCCATACCATTTTTCCCTACACCTTCAATGACAAAAACAATAACCCTACTATTTAAAATCAAATATAAGACCTGTAATAAGTGTAAAAAGTCTGTTAATTACATAGATATCTTCAATATTTGGAGTCAATTATGACGAAACTGTCAATTTTCTTAACAAAAACTATTTTTTGAATAGAAAAGGTTTGAAACAGTAGTGAATTACAACAACGTTTCTTTCTTCTAATAAATTGAGTTTTTGACTGATCATACTTCTGTTTCGAATATTGCTAAACATCCATGATAGCCGTTTTTGAAAATATTTTTTATATTTAATTATTCATAAATAATTTTACAGGACTGCAAATACTAAGAATTGAACTTGTACTCTGTCAAATATGCTTAAAATTATTTAATTAGTTTGAGTACTAAAATTTTTGATAGTATTGACAAATTTAAATGTTTTTAAATTTAAATTAAATTTTTTCAAATTTAATGTTTTTATTCGACAGTTCACACTTTATTTATTTATTTATTTATTTCATTGTTTTCAAATAATGGAGACTTATCTGCTGACTGTTTTTAAAATTTACGACAACTTATTTTTCATTTGTTTAAATGAAAAGATGAACAAATGAACAAATAGATACAAATAGATATCTTCCTTCATTAAAGTATTTAAAGCAATTGATAATTAAGATGATGAACATAAACGATTAAAGTGATTTCTATTTTACTTGGGGCAGCAATTACAAAATTTTAATTTGATTGCAAAGAAACTACACAGAATAAGGAAAATATAATGTCAGCATTCCACAAAATAAAAACACTGGAACATTTGTTGAACTTCTGCAATTCTAATTTCAGTTCGCATGACTAGCCCAACTATGTCAACTGCAATGACAAATCCTCCAAAGCGTCCGCAGAGTTAACTAATGCAGATTTGAAATCATCTAAACAAGCACCGGAAACATGTTAAGGCTCACACTCATTCGCATGCACTTTTACAAGTGCATACATATGCGAACAGGACGACGAATGCGAATGCACGCACATTTAAATTTCAAAATAAAGGATAAAATTTTTTTCGCCTTCACTGTTTTAAGCCTGTGCAGGACACGAATGGCTAAAATTGGCAACCACAGATCCGTGTTTTTTTTTATTGCTCACAACGTTATCTGATATTTTTTCTAGTGTCAAAGTCCATTGTCAACATTTTCTGTTTCGCAAATGCACTCATGCAGTATTCAGTAGTAACGTAGCGCGCTTAGGAGTGGATTTGATAAAGGATGTTAGTCAATGAATTCGGAACAATTTAAAGAAATTTATTAGTTATATTTAAGCTTTATATTGTAATTTTGAAATTTAAGTTCTCGATACTCTCAATGTCAAAACAATATGTTTTATATATTTATTAATATTTAAATCCAAATAAATAACATCTATGATATATCAATTGTTCTATAAAATATAAAATAATATATTTATCTGTGTTTCCACTACTTATTTACTAAGTGTAACTTACTAAGTAAATTTCATTAACCATACCAAAGGCTTCCGTGCTTTTTAATAGTATATTTCCACTGCTTTCGTTAGACTAGTTAACTAACTTACTTGAGGTTGCTAAGTAAATTTCATTAGTATTTATTAAAGTCAATGTTTTTTTAATTGAATATGCAATAATTTATAAAATATACAAACATACCTATATAAATGATTTAATATATCAATTACATATTTAATTTTTTGTGTGATATATTATTGAGTAAAACTTTTCTAAACAAATAGAAGCTGACTTAGAACTTCCTGACACATAAAAGCTTTTACAGGTGCAGTAAGTAACTTATGTCAATGGAAACGACAAAATCTTAAAGTTACTTTAAGAACGTAAAATATTTTTAAGTAACTTATTAAGTAAGCAGTGGCAACATGGTAAAGATTATTAAATGTCTTTCATTGTTATTACGTCTTTGCTGTGTCATATTGTGATATGAGATTAAGTTTTTATGTCATTTTGAATTGAACAAAAAGCTATATGATTCTATTATGATTCCAAAGGGAAAGGCCAGAGGTCAAGGCACCTCGAAGACGACCAAATGGTTGCTTAGTATACGTTAATTAATTCAAAGTTCCAGATCTGCAGGTATTCCTTTTGCATGTAATCCTAAAATAAGCAGTTGTTTTTTAAAGTTAAAGTGAATCTCAATCAATTGTAATTGTCATCAGTGCATTAGGAATTCAATAGGTAAATTTTCCATTGCTTGAACTTTGTTATTCATGGTTGAAATGCTGTTTTATGCAATTCAATTGCAAAATGAATTAATTTCGTTTCGCAATGTTAGGTTTTTCTTCGAGGATTTTGTTTTCGTTGAAAAATTAAGCTTAAGAAACTTTTAGTTGCTTTCAACGCGCAACTAATTTACTAATTTGCAATGTAGATTGCTTAAACTCTTACTGCGATCGACTTTGTTTAAAGTTGCAGCCACTTTCGTTGCACTTCCAGTTGCTTACCAGGATTTGGATTCGTTAGTTGCAAAGTTAATTCTTGCATAAATAAAATTATATATTCCGCCATACACAAAAGAAACTGTATGCATATGCCTCTCATAAAGTTTTCTTATGAGTGCATGAAGTGTGTAGAAGTTTGCAATTGAATATGAAATTAAAACTTTTGTTTTATTTAATGAATTAAATAAAGTTTATGCAAGTGATTTTTATTCCTCCTTCACTGC